GTAGGATGGTAGGTACGGCGGTGCCGACTACTATTAGATATTGCCGGCAAACACGTTCAGAATGCAATAAGCGCACAAAGATCTACGAGCGTGCCTGCTATCTCCATCCCGACGTGGAAGTCATTACCACCGCACCGATGCGATCATCCAACATCTTCAAAGGTTAATAGGTTCCTATTCGGTCGTTCCGGAGGAGCATGGAAACCCGAAACGTGGTTATGAACGTCAACGGTGCATTCTTCAGATTCAAGCTAACGGTGAAAGCCTTGAAATAGCATTGATCATAACAAAGTTAATGGTTATTCCAAGAGCCAAGTACGCAATTGGCAAGTCAGTCTGTATGGACAACCCGTAGAACGGGCTGGAAAATATAAATATTTAGGAACGTATATCACTGTAGCCGATCGCAAAATACGAATTTGTTGTCCCAACTGAACGTTAGAACTACTATATTTTCTGAACCAGTATACTAAATCCAGTAACAAAATTGACAGAACTGTATTATAAAAAACAACGTCAAGTAGATTGACTCTATACTTCCCACGCTTTCGGAACAACTTCAAGTACAGGTTTCCAGGTAGTGCAACGGCATAAAAAAAGATGCAGGTTTTGTCGATGAGTTAGTGCACTATTTGGTCTTTTCATGGAAAAAAAATCTTCAAATTGCAATAATGAGCGTGACCGTGCTGCGTAGCCTCATTTCTTTAGAGCCCCGGAGAAAAACTCGTTGTCAACAAGGTTTGATAACTGATTGCAATAGCTCTACTATATAATATCATCTGACGAAATCTAGTAACGTAATTAAATTCCACTACAATCATAACACTCATAGATATATAAATAATATTGCGCCCATCTCGTATGTGTATATCGTGTCACCAGAAGGTATTTACATTTCCCTGGTGCCCGGCAAGTGCGAATGAAAATATTTATTTCAAGTTTTAAAGGCAAATGTGTGAAATACGTCCAATAGGTGCGTAGAATTACCGCAGCTGGAAGTATATTAATATACTATTAATAAAAGATTGCGACAATTCTTTTACCCCTATTTTTTTCACAAAAATAATCAGATCCCCTGAAACGTCAAACGTCAGAACAAAGTTTGCGCGATTTATATTTTGCAGTGAGCAGTCCTTACGAAGTTATAGACCGACAGAGAAACCGACGGAAATGAGTGACATGGTTTTTCGTGATGTTCATCTAAAAAACATAATATCTCATCTTTGAAAATGCTTGCGATTATAATAATACTTCCTTGTCCGTAGACGTTGGAAGTGAAACAACGTTTTTTAAGCAATGGGGGAGTAATCTAGAAAGAATATGGCGCTAATTAAGCTGGGAGTCATATCTGGCGCATTTAAAGTTATGAACAGACAAACATATCAATTTCTGATCAGCTATTTACAGCAACAGACGTCAAAATTTGAAAAATAGGTTACCTTTCTATCAAATCTGTCTTTTTCCATCAACTGGCTGTCAAATCTGTATTTTTTCTACCACTCTCCTATAAAATTTGTCTTTTAGTCTAATCGTATTAGCAAATTTCCCGAAATAGTTGTAAAATCTAATTTTATTGGAGCAAGCTGTTCAATTTAAAACATGGACGCAAAAAGTGGGTTCACCAATTTTTGTAGGAAAACTTTTTATTCGAAGAATGAGAAAACGTGTTTTTTGTGATTCAATCGAAAGTGTTGACAGGAACAAAAAAACTTTTCATACAAGACTTTTAGGTACTTATGAAACCTACAAAATGAGACCACACGTTTTTGATTATTGTCACCAAATATGTCAGAGCTTTCGGCGAGAGCAGCTTCAACGCCTTGCTGGTGATTTGATATGGACGAGTGCCTTTTAGCTTGTGAAAATGTCATTGTTGAGTCATTACAGGGTGTAAAAAATAGCAGTATTCTGTTTGGGCCCATCCCTAAACTACTCGTAAATGAGTTAATTGAGTCATGTATCTCCTTATAGGAGCCCCAATAGACATTTAGAAACTGATGGCATTATTATTTGTTTTATATACATCCGAGTGGAGGACACCTTATTTTCATCGGTTCTTGAAGATGAAGTCCTTCCGCTTTCCTGATTCATCTTCATTCGACTCTCATCCTTCTGAAAATACCTTAAACGACCTAAAAACCTCTGCTATTAACAAAACACTATTTCCGTAGGCCTGATGAAGTTTAGCAAGAGTTTCCCTTGCTCTGTGCTCAAGCCTGAAGCAAAATGTCATTCATTTTTAGAACACAATAGGAAAAACTGTTTCACAAAAGAAATCGCTATAGTCAACCAAATGGCTCAAGCGAGTTCAAACTTGTACTGAAGACGGATGACATGTTCCCCTGCCCCCCTCCCCCCGCCACTCAATCTAGAGCCAAAAAAATTGCTGGAAATTAATTTTAGCTTATTAATGTCGCTGCTGGGGGGCGTAACTCTATCCACAAAATTAGAAATGCCGTTTCTATGGCACTTCAAATGCAACGATACTATTATTTTTATTATTTAAAAATTGCATGGAAAATTCTACAAACTAGTGAATGCATGTCGTTATTTTCATTGGTTATACATTTTTTGCAAGTTTGTAACCTTCGTACTCCTATACACCACACTCAAATTGTATCTTAATCTGAAGCGCACAAGTATTTCTAACCGTCATTTTTTTACTATTCTGATCGACTGCCCTAGACGTATGACTTGTATATGGTGGAGGCACTTAACACAAGACAAGGTGTCCCCAATGGACGCTTGGTAGCATATCTCTATACACTACTACTGAAAATCAGTCATTCTCTATGTGAATACCGCGAAATGTGGCCACTCTTTATGGATGCAACGATTGTGTTTTTTTGCTAATGCAAGTGTCTTCCATGACAAACTGCAAAAGCGAATCGACTTGGGCACATTTCGCGGTTGCTCAAACACGTGGGCAGTCCGCGGGCGTGCATGTAGACCACCTGGTCACCTGCTCGACCAGCAGATGACCGGAAAAAATCCAACCGACGACTTATGCTTGGATTCTGTGGTCTGGCCGTAAGATCTTCGAGATACGGTTACAAAACGCCTTCTTTCAGTCTACACCGCAACACGCCGCCGTGAAATTCTTATGTTTGTTTGACATCAACGTAATTTTACTTCAATAGCATAGTCAACTTATCTTTTTGAGTTGAAGAGCCATTTCATCACGGAGGAAAAAAAATAGCTTTACGTTGACGTGTTATTGCTCTACGCTAATCTGTATAGAAATTAGGATACAGAGAGATGCACAAGTGATAACTGTTAAAACGGAAACGTCGATGTCACCATTTGAAGTCTAGTTTATTACTCTGACACTAATTTATCGCAACACTAATTTATTACACATACATCGACTGGACTATGGTGATCTGGGCTGCTCACTCATCTGTCGACTCTTCCCGTTTATGTCCTCTGTACTTGTATTTATCTTCGAATCGACGAGTCCAGAAGCAATCTCTCGTTTTCTCGCCTTTTTCCGACGCCTGGCGACTGGTGAATGTTAGCGGTGAGTGGTGGCGTAGTTCTGGTTGTCTAAGCGTCCATGCTACGACAGTGCCTCATTGGTACTCAAAGTTTTAGTTACAAGGGCGTTACAATATCCACAGACAAGGAGGGAAACATATGTACCCAATGCCCGCAGAAAATAAAAAATAAAAAATGTTTAAGAAGTAACTTAAACACAGTTTTACCTGTAAAATACTCTGTGAAATACTAGATGATACGAGATCGATCCTTATTTTGTGTGCTGCCTCAATGCATAGGAATCTTGGGCACTGGCTTCGGCCACATTCAGCCAAAAAATATAAATTCGTTCACACATTTCGCCTTCTGCCAAATAAGTATGAAGAAGTAAAATGAGCAAAACCATACTAGGAATATAGGTTCTTGGTGCGTTTTTCTTTGTTGACATCGATTAGATCTCTTGGGTTCCAGTTAGTAATAGTATAGATTTTCTCCAATGTTTATTCTCGCTTGACAATTAACGTCGAAATATACTATTTTCAAGTGCGGCTTTATTATGTACTTGCATATGTTAATGCAAAGTATTGTTTCAATTGGACTTACATCGTGACTCATACCATTTCCGTTTAGAAAAAATGACAAATTTTGACAATTTTCTTAAATTGAATTTTCTGTTACATCATCGGATAAGTTGCTTTACAAAACGGAGGTTGATATAATATACTTTAGCGGTTTAATGACTGGTTATTGAGTTATAAACGATCAATGTATAAAGATGCTCAACTTTGACATGCTTCCTGTCCACCATTTTGGAAGATACTGATTTTATATTCTAGGGTCGTGAAGTGTACCGGGTTTCAAAATGAGGTGTCATGTAATTCCACCTTCCATTTAAAAGCATGTGGCACTACTGCAATCTTGAAATTATGGACTGTCACGTTTACGTTAAAATGTAGTATTTATGCAACAATGTCATGTACAACACTAATAAATATTATTATTATGATTATTGATCCAGAAATTCGGCTAATTTGACACGTCCAAAGATTTACTTAGAGAGACTACATCCACAGTAACTAAAAACTGGTGGATGTGCGGACAATTTCATTTGCTTCATCAAAGTATATATTCTTATTTGCAATTATGATAAGATGCCAAAAGAATTGTGTCTCAAGTCTTGTTATTTTCATGCAACCACGAACGTAAAGCCTAAGTGTGGTGATTACTAAGAAGAAGCTAAGAATGTTTGTTTTGAATTCCTTAATAATTGTAGAAACTTGAGAAAAATATTTTCTAGTTTCTAGTACATTGTTCTGCATCCTTAACAGGCAAAAAAGTAGTCTTATGTGTCCATCCAGCAAGCTCTGAACATGGCGGCATTAATTACGAAGAAAATGAAACACCTTTATTACTTTAACTTCCTTGTACACCGAATCAACATCCTCTAATGCCATGCCTGGCTATTAATTGCGTATTTTCTACTTTCAATTTGTTGAATTTGTATGCAAATAGTTGTGAGTTCTGCTTAAGCAAATGAATCGTCTTTTTTTCAGTCGGAGGCTATGTGCAAAGATTTTGGAAAGACCGTTCAAGTCAAAACAGCTGGAATGTAAGCCAACCTTTAAGCACTACTACGTAAAGTGCGGAGACAAGCTCTGTCAAGCTGTAAGGTATGTAGCACTTATACACTTATACTCTGTACTGTTACTGTAAAACTTAATAGCAATGCATAAAAAATGTAGATCAACGAAACAGAAGAAGCTCGACATACGCATTCTATTTTCTTATGTACAGGGTGACCAAATAAGCATGCGAGGTACACTATTTGGGAACGCGCCCATCGTACAGGCTTGCGGCAGAACAGTTACTACTAAAACAGCCAAAAGAAAAACCTGGAAAAGATTTTCAGGCTCCTGAATTGGCCGCTAGGGGACGTAGCTGCAATCTTGAGTCTAAAAAAGTGATGCTTCTGTGATTTCCGCTTACCTAACAAAAAAGACTCTATCTTCGAAACGGCTGAGCCGATTTTAAGAAACTTGGGCTAGTTGAAAAGAGCTATTCTTGGTCTACAAATGTTATATTTGAAGTTTTGTCAGTTTCACATGCGGTCGCTAAATGGCTTTTTTCGACATTCCGACAGAAATGGTTAATTTTTTCAAAAAAATTAAATGTATTGGTATGACTTTTTGTGAAAAAGCAGCTAAAATTTTATACGGAAATCCCTTAAGTTTTTTTATTTATAAATTTTTTCTGGAATTTATTTTTATTATTAAGTTGTAGCCCTAAAAGGGGCCGATTTAAAAAAGAAAGGTTTTTAATTTTTCGACATTCCATCAGAAATGGTTGCATTAATATGACTTTTTTGTGAAAAAGTATCTAAATTATGTCTAAACAAGCTGGAACCGCATCTCGATATCTTGTTTCTAACCTAAAATTTAAACCCAAAAGATTGTATACGGAAATCCCTTAAATTTTTTATTTTTTTAAACAATTTTTTCTTGAATTTCTTTTTATTATTAAGTTGTATCTCTAAAAGGGACCGAATAAAAAAAGAAAGGTTTTTAATGCCCCCGAAACTGCTCGAAATGCTGACCATAATGCTCTATGCATTTCTGCAGCCTCTCATGGGTAGACAAAACTGCAGCTACAATTTCGGCTCGCGGTATGTTACGTATTGCATTACGAATCCGATTTTTCATATTTTCTCTGGTTGTAGGTTGAGTTTGCAATGCGGTGTTCTTTAACCGTCCCCATAAATAAAAATCAAGGGAAGTTTTGTCTGGTTATCGCGAAGACCATGGAAACGGACTTCCTCTTCCAATGCACCGCTGTTGAAATACTGCATTGATATGCTCTCGCACAATAGTAGCAGAATGTGCTGGGCAGCAAGATTGCCCAAGTTATTGGGGTGTAAAATTTTATAACAACTTTATAACACCAGCGGTAAGATCTTTTCCCTACAACAGGTTTAAAAATTTAATCAAATACTTACTTATAAAAAATCAACTATAAGCTGTGGGTGAATATTTTAACAAGCTGAATTTTAATATATGTTTGTGACGACACGTGCAGTTTAATCTTGTTATTTACTAATTTGTGCGAGTCATAACAATAAATTGATTTTGAAGCTTCGTATTAATACATTTAGACTAGAATCTAGACTCACAGGACGAAGGTTCATTTTTCTCTTGTATCCGATATCGATTAAACGAAGCCCCTAAAACTGCGATCTGGTGTTCTAAAAATAGAATTTTACCATCGATATTAACCTCACCTCCAAAGTCATAACCCATAAATCCGAGTTATGACGTGTAAAATAAGATAAAGTTGAGCACAAGCGTAAAACTAAAGAAGTGGAAATACCCATAACCCAGCTGAAACGGAGCCTCCGTGGAAAATCGATTTCGGAATGAAGACCGCGAACGAATCAAATAAAATTTCCCACCGGGTGAGTTCTCCCTCATTGCTTGGAACCATTTGCCACAATAGCTTTTGTTTATAAAGTATAATTCGAGCAAAGAAAGAGACCGCCACACCGCTTTTCCATTATTTTCTTGCTGCGTCTCCATCCATAGTCGGAGTGGGTTGGTTTTTACTTTATGTTTCATGAAGCTTATTTCATTTCATGAACCTTATTTCAGTAAATATCAAATTGGTCTGTTTCATAATAGCATAATACTTATACCCAATTAAAATATGGCACATCTGATGTTCGTGAACTGTTTCAGAAGCAAAAGGTCCCGCAAAAATCTCATGGAAAATGGTTTTCGCCTGTTTTTAAGCTTTAGTGCGTTGTAGATTTCAACACGTGGAGTAAAAATGTCTAAGATCGTAGGGTTCTTTCACGAATAATTTCCGAGATACACGGTCTCCAAGCTAGGCAGTCACTACCCTATTACATCGTATTGTGACTCAGTAAACGATATGTAATAGTTCTTTGATACTTATCATCATCCCTATTAGCCGATTCGGCAACGTTGCAATGGCAGCGATGGCCAATTATGCTGCCGCTAGGCAGCGCATGTGTGGTTGGATGTCAAACTGTCGAATGTAGATGGGAAATAGACAGATTTGATAGGTCACCCACTTTTCACCTTTATTGTCGTGAATAGCTGATCAGCAATTGACATCTTTGTTCATAACTGTAGACTCTGACCTTCAGCCAGCTAAATGAATAAAGCTGTGTTACAAGACTTTTATAGTACCCTTTGTATCTACTGCGACATGTAACATCCGTACTGAAGTACCTACATACTGCTGTTTAAATATAAATCATTTTTGCGTATACTCGCGTAAAGATAAACTTAGCGGCGCTCGTATGCCGAAAGCATCTAACTCCCACAAAAGAGATAGGTACGTAAGTGGTACGAAATATTATTTAGTTTAATTAGTCATAAAACTATTTTCCTGTAAGAAAGATAAAGATACTCTCGAAACATGTTCAAAATGCCCTGGCGATTTTTCCAATATGGCTGTAACATAACGAACTCTTAAAGCAGCAATATTCAAAACTCTTCTTAAACCTTTCCAGGCAAAGCTACCAAATCATTGTACCAATGGACTATATATTTATGTTACAAATGAAGCTTATCCCATGCTGATAAATCATGTTTTCTGGCCGTTAAATTAAGCCATATAGGTAGGATCAACTTTTTACTGCAAAAGCGGCAAAAACAAATGAACTGTCACCTGAAAGACAAATAAATGTAAAATGAATTGTCATCATTATTTTTAATCTGTACTTTGACGTTCTGCCCATTGAACATGTGTGGTAAATGATGGGAGGAATACTCACTCATTTGCCTCATTCATAACAAATGCTAGCAGCTCTTCCACACTAAGTACATCTGGCGTGGGATGACATATCTCAAGGAGATATAAATCATCTCCTCAGAAAATTGCTCCGACAACTGGATGAATGTATTAGACATTTTTAGTGAAATAACAATAACGAAACGCTAAGCCTTCCATTGCATTATTTTGACAGTGACAGTAAATAAAGAATTTCAACGGAAAAAGGGTATTTATGACCACTAAAGTGAATCGTGGTAATTTGACAGTACCGACTACTGGTAGTCATGACTGATTGCTCATTTTTATCGATCTCCAAAAGTTAAAAATCGTGTTAAGTGTGTTCGTATTAAAATTTCGGTAATATTTGAAATCAAACCGGACAAGAAATAGGTAGATTTAGTTTAGATTCATAGAAGGGCAGTACCAGCAGAACCACAATAAAAGGCTACCTTGCCACATTACATTTATGAAAAATCAAGACAATTTAATTTGTTTAGAAAACGACCTACTTCTTGCATTTATTTTATCTGTGATCGAAAAGGAATATTTCTGTTATATTTTGACCGATTTATTTGTAGAACAGGCAATCAGTTTAATTAAGCTTATCCAGCTTTAGAAACTCATGCAACAGCGCTGAATAAGGAAAATACAGCCTTGCCAAATAAGTTATCCCCTTTTCACAGTAACTAACGGAGTCTTCTTATTTAGAAAACGAATAAGGGAAGGTTATCTCACTACTGCGCATAATCAAAATAAGAGAGATCATAATGAAGCACCAAAACAAGTACACTAAATACTCTATATTATGACATTAGAAGCCGTATTACCCAACTTAAAAAGTGACATTATACCGATTTTTTATGACATTATCTAGGTTTTCCTATAAAATGCCACATTTGAACTAGCTGACATTCACTTCAAGCTCACTTGCAGTACGCGCGAAATGATTAGTTCACAGTTTACCAGTCTTTCGACATTAGGTCCACGATTCAGCGAAGTTTTCACTTCAAAACCCAATCACGAGTTTATCTTGGTTATATCTAACTGTGCATAAGATTTCATTGAAATCAAACCATCTCGCCTGCTGTTCTTTTGTCTTTTTTGTTGAGTTTATGTTACATAGATATAAACCCTGTTTTTTGTTCTTCCTTAAGTTATGATCACGCCACGTTTTAAGATAAGTTAGCACACACTGGCAACGTCGCTTGATACTGAGAACATTTGTTTACAAGTTGATCTTAGTAATTTACTGTTTGTTTGGTTTAAAAGGGCCTTTTTAATTGAGTTAAACCCTTGTTACTTTTACAAGAGGATATATTTGTTCATTTTTGGTGAGTCCCAATACCTTTGCCATCGTACTTCAACACGTTTTTGATAGTTTGGTTTGGTCACGTACGCCGGCTTGTGAACCTTGTACCCTGGTACCACGTACCAGTAGCATTTTTGCTGGGCAACGTGCGTGGCGTGAAAGCTGTGTTGCCGCTAGTACTGTTTCAACACTGGTTTACAGAAAACTGATTATGGCTGGTCCAAAGACCTGTCAAGGTTGCGAAAAGGCTATTGGGAAAAAACTGAAGCTTCAATGTAGCAAGTGTGAAGGCTAGTTTCACCTCCACTGTGGAAATGTCACCGAGGTTGAGGCACGGCTGATGCAGGCAGAGAAGTCATCTTGGAACTGCAGTGCTTGTGAATCTGCAGCTCTTCGACGGCAGTCAGCGTTGTTTTCTCAAGCTAATACAACTGCCTACGACCGAGAGGGTGGTGCCATGGGGAGCTCCAGAAGATCCGCTGTGTATTTTCCAGAAGCTACCACCAACCGTAATGACACCGAGCTCTACACATTAGTCAGAGAGTTGCAAGCTGAAATTAGGGAACT